TTGGCTGGGAGGAGGGTAGAGAGAATAGTGCAACAATGAATGAATGGAAACCCAAAATCTCTGTAAATGTTTATGAAAATTAATAAAATTATAGAAAAAAAAGAAAATAAGCATTGTCGTTAAGCCATCCTGGACTGTTTGGCAGTTGTTAAGCAAAAAAATGTGATGCTTTGTTTTTATGAAAACATTTCCTAATGTACTTACAAATGATCTTTTGAGGTACCAGCCCATTGTCCATCTGAAGTCTATCTTCCATAAACGCTACCCCCAGCTTGCTGAAGTCATCCACGCTGGCTTCAGCGATTAACTGATGAGGATCTCCAGGTCTGCTAGCTAACAGCAAGCAACAGTCTGACCACTTCACAATCTGACAAAAAGCAGGAGAGAGAGGTTGACATTTTTCCATCTGTATAATAAACAAGTCTTTTGTTCTTCTTTTCAGCTCTCTACCATTAAATCCTAGTTACAGGTCATGAATTGGGAGGTATCACATTTTATTCATATCAGCTGTTTGGGTACAAATATTCTCATTTCTACTCCACAACAGTGCTTAACCAATTGCTATCAGGTTCCCATTCATGGTACCACATATCTGTCATGGTAGGATCATGCTCCAGAGAGCTTTCAGTAGTTGATTTTTCAGAGGCAGAAAGTCAAATTTTTCTTCCAAGGTGCCTTTGGGTGAACTCAAACCTTCTATGATGCATGTGTGCACAGGATGCATGTGCACGCAGGTATAAAAATGCAGACAAAGCACTAAATGTAATTTCAGAGTCTAAAAGTCATTCTCAAAGAGCACAAAGGAAAAAGGGCCATTCCCAATCTGAAAGACAGAATGGTCCTTAGTTGTTGTTGTGTGCCTTCAGGTCAGAACTAACTCAAAGCTGACTCTCATTCAGATTTTCAGAGGCTGCAGCTCAAAGATTCTAATCATCTACCTTTGGCTTGGCAGTGTGATTCCTTACCCACTAGGCCACCAGAACTCCCCATCAGTAATAGAAAATAAGAAGCGAATAGTAAATCCACATTAAAAGATCAAGATCAAGCTGTCTCAAAGTATGATCCAACAACTGATAGGTCCAGGGCCCCAGGACACAATAAACTTTAGGGTCTTGGCCTCTCCTTCCTACACTAGCCCCCTGGGGTTTCCTATGTCAAATACATTTTTATCAACTGATCTGATTCAAAGTTAACTATAAAGTGAAGACAAGATTTCTCAATTTATTAACTTCACCAATAAATATTATACTCAACTAAAATGTTATCAATTTAGTTATGAGCTCTGCAAAATTACTTGTGAATGGGAATATTGTTTTAAGGTCTATCTTTAAGTTACATATTTTTTTTTATTTTACATGTTTTTATGCTAAACTGTGAGAATGTCAAGCACTCTGAGGAAAGATTAGCTCCCTACTCCACGGATTAGCCTTGTCCCAGTAAATTCACATCTCCACCACAAGGGGGCAGGAGCAAGAGCACAACCAAAACATTCTGTCCACTGAGCCTAGTTCTAAAAAAACTTGAGACTGGTACATCACACATGTGGAGTCGCTCTCAGGATTTTGCAGCAGGACAGAGGAGTCCACTGGGGGCTAGTTGTTGAGTACTTAACCATTTGTACCATCCACAGACTCCTAGATATATGCTGAAAACAAGTATTCAGTTACAAAGAATTGACTTTCAATTATAAAATAAAAACAGGTACTTGTTCAAACAAGTACATTTATTGATGAATGTTCATAGCAGCATTCGTTAATTATAACAACCAAGAAGAGGACATAACTAAAATAATCATCAATGAGTATGAATAAACAAAATTACTAAATAAATGAACAAACAAAATATGGTGTATATACTCAGTAAAGTATTATTCAGCCATAACAAGGAACAGAATATGTACATCCATGCTCAACGTGAAATCAAAAGATGAATGCATTGGGAAAATCTATGTCATGGACCTCTCCAGAGTGCTGAAGAACAATGACGTCAGCCTAGATACAAAGGTATGCCCGATCCAGGCCATGGTCTTCTCAATTAATTGTCATACTTCAGAGAATTGAACAATGACTCAGGATGAACAGAAGAAGAATAGATGCCTTCGTGCTGGAGAAGAGTCTTGAACATACCATGGACTGCCAAGAAAACAAATAAGTCTGTCTTGGAGAGGGTGAAACCATGTCTCTCTTGGGAGGCTAGGACTTTTAAGCTCCACGTCACTTACTTTGGGCATGTGGCCAGAAGAGGCCGGTCCTTGGAGAAGGACATCATGCCCAGAAGGGTGGATGGACAGCACAGGAGAGGGAGACCCCGGATGAGATGGATTGATATAGTATCTGCAGCAATGGGGGTTGGTGTGTTGGAATTAGTAAAACTGGCTCAGGACAGGGAAAGGTTCCAAGCTGCTGTATATAGGGTTGCTATACATCGTAGGCAATTCAACAGCACATAACAACAATAACATACTTTATTGGTTGTTTTTTATTTAAGCCTCTTATTTAGAGACAAGAAGACCTTGAGGAGAGCTTTTATATTTCAAGTGGGTGGTTCTATTTTGGAGGAGCATTCTGCGAAGTGGTCCAGCACTCTTCTGTCAATGTGCAGTACTGAGGTAACCTGGGGTTGCTGTGATGCTGAACCATGTGCCACTGGGGTTTCAAATACCATAACAGTTACCCACAGTGGACAGTGTTTGGTGGAGCTCCCAGTTTAAGACAGGTTTGGAAGCAGGAGTGGCATCCATTTCTTAAACAACATGTGTCTGGAAACTCTATGAACTTTGATAAATGTCAATAATTATAGAAAGGCTTCAAGCCTTTTGCTCATAGAATCGCTATGAGTCATGCTCAAACCGAAGGAAATCAACAATAACAACGTGTTCACTGTAACATTATTTAAAAAGCAAAGATATGGAAGTGAATGTCTATCAATGAATGAATGGATAAAGAAATCACAGTACATACAAAGAAGAGAGGATGTGAGGGCAATCTGGCTGCAACATCTGTCACCCCATTGATCACCAGGGTTGATTTGGCTGATCTGGCTGGCTAGGCGGGTGTCCCCTTCCTCCCTCACCGGTCCAGGTGCATCCCTCCCGAAGCTGCGCATTCGGTTGAAAAGAACAACCATCCCCGATAGACAGAAGACTGTCCTTCAGTCAAGGGTATACGAGTAGCTGTGCTCTCCTGCTAGAACCTCCACACAAGCTCCCATACATAGAATGGAATAGAATGAAATACAAAAGAATAGTAATGAATTCTAAAATATCACGTAATATGGCATGAATGTAGAAGACATTATGTTAAGTGACGTCAGTCAGCTAGAGAAAGACAAACACTGTTCAAGTCTATAATTACAAAAAGCCAAAGGGAAGTATATGCACGGAGAGAACCATTCTTAGACGGTTACCAGAGGGGGCAAGGTAAGGAGTAGAGAAAAATCAGTAAACAGAGAATGCACAAAGATTAAGTCGGAAGGAAAGACAATACACAATAAGGTGATAATCAGTACAATGTCACTGAAGAAAAAGGAAAACATGGAGAGGTACACAAGAAATAGAGTCAACACAATCCAGCAATATACTTTAGAGAGTAAAGGTTGCATAAAGTCAGATAAGATAAACAGCTATGTACAGGTGCAGTAGACTACACACATGGCCATACACAGCTTTGGCAAATTACATTTCTACATTCATATATACAAGACAAAGGTTATGTAACCCTGGTCTGTCCACTTGCTGTACAGAAGTAGCTCGTGGTTGCTGTGAAGCCAAACACTGTGACACGGACATGTCAGATGTGAGAATGGTTACCCATGGTGGACAGTGTTTGATGAAGCTCCCCAATTAAAACAAGCTTGGAAGCAGAAGTGGCATCCACTTCCACAACAGCTTGCCTCTGGAAATCCTATGAACCTGGAGAGAGGACAAAAGTTATACAGGTGTCCAAGACTTTCATTCATAGGGTTGCTATGAGTCGCCTGTGACTCGACGGCACTTAACAACAACAACAACAAATACATTCGTGCATAAAGCAGGGAGAGAGCTCTTGTAGCACAGTCGCTAGGAAGTTGTACTGCTAAACCCAAGGGTCATGCCTGCCTAGTGGTTCAAATCCACCAGTTACTCTGAAAGACAAAGATGGACAATTTCCTTCCATGCAATTTATAGGCTCTGAAAACCCGCTGGAGAGTCAGCCAAGTTGGCTCCTACTCAACATTAACACGGAGCTCTGGTGGTCTTGTGGCAAGATGTTGCACTGCTGCTCCAGGGAGATGGATGAGCAATCACCTGTCCTGGGATTAACTGCCTCTGAAAAACCCTGGAGGGTGAGCTATGGGTCAACTTTACAGTAAACAACAGCAGCAGTCAAAATTGATAACAGGGAGCAAAGGTAAGTAAATTCCTTCAACCTAACCTAACACCCTGAGGGAATGAATTACTAGTCCTGCAGGCCTCAGAAACATAGTCTCTGGGGACATCCAGGTCAACTGGCATTGAAGAGCCCATAAAGGCAATGTTCTACATCCTACTTTGGTGAGTAGTGACTGGGTCAGGAAGGTAGCAAGTTGCTACCTAAAATGCAATTCTTGGTCTTCCTTGTCCAAAACCAAGAAGAGGTAAGAAAAAGAGAAGATGTATAGAAATAATCAGTCCAAAAGGCAAATGAGCCACGGGAGCTTCAACTTTCACAACCCCAAACCAGAGGAACTGGAGGATACCTGGCTATGACCACTGAGTACCTAAAAGAGATCACAGTAGACCCTGGATAGAGTTGGAGGAAATAAACACAAAACTTAAAGTAAAAAAAGGCCAGGCTCACTGGTCCAATATAGTCCCCAAGACTATGCCCCTTTGTAATCCTTTGAACTCAGAACAAAACTCATCCCTGTGGCTCAATCAGCACCAACAACAGGCTTACAAAAAGGATAATACCACCAGAGAAACACTCACACCTTAGAATAAACTGTTGTTGTTAGGTGCGTTTGACCACAACTTCCAGCAACCCTGTAAACCACATTAGCTGAGTCTTGCCCTAGGCTGCACAAGTGTCCTATTCTCTTATGTGCTTGGGGCCAGTGTTACAGTCACTGTGTCAATCCATCTTGTTGGCATCTTCCTCTCACTCACTGACCCTCAACTTTCTGACTATGATGTCTTTTTCCAAAGCCTGGCATCTCCTGACAACATGCCCAGAGTATGTGAGATGAAGTTTCACCATTCTTAACCTCTAAAGAGCAGCCCGGCTGCATTTCCTCCCA